TTTTCAGCTGCACTAATGAACGGTAACGAATGGGAATAGTGTGTCTCTAGATTCAACTTGGGAAAAACTGAGGACTATACTACAATTATAATATTTCAATTTGAACTGAATGTTTACGATTTACGTAATGGTTAGTACAGTGCATCAGTGGAATAGTTAAATAAAATGTTCGCAAAATGGGAATTTTGTGTTTCTTTTGAATATTTTAAATCTCTTTAGAAATCGTCTGAAAAGTTGTAGTGATATCGGGGGAAAAGTTAGAATGTCTTTTATGACGTCAACAATCTTGCTTTTGCCAGATAGAAACAGTCACAAAAATTGAGAAATCAAGAAAGCCGTCTGTCAAATCAAAAAAATGTATTCGAAGGCATTTTAGTTTGAACTGTCCGGTAGTTTGTGTTGACTGGAAAGCTGAAAGGTAACGGTATTTTAAAAACCCACAATTTGTCTGCAAAGTCTAAATATACTACTTTGTAATGCGGGAAAGTTGTCTTACTTGTCGGACAGGTAGTTCCAGAACCCAAGAAGAAGTTCGTTCACGATGTTAGAAATGTTAATTTGGAATTCAGGAATGTTGTCTGAAAAATCTAAACACGAATCTCAGTATATGATTAAGACGTCTAAATAGTTGACAGGTTGCTTTGGAAAGCTAGATAAATGTATGAATAGTCCCAAAAATAGACAATGGACCATATGAACCATGGAAAATTATCTGTCAAATAAGAAATATTGCCTCAAGAAAAGGTAAAGTTCTGTCAAATGTTCTAAACGTTAAACTGAAACGGAGAAAATGGAAATGTCGCCATGGTAAGCTACATATTGTCTAAATAGTCACAATACCTATATCGAGTGATGTGCGTGTCACGGTGAGATACACTCACATTTGAGCAACATGTAAATAACACCAGTTCTAACAGAATATAGGTCGATTATTCTGAGTCGGGTGACTTGAAACGTCTGTTATGTGAGAGTGAACGGGGACTTGCTCACTCTACTCGGCTTCTTGCGGTATCGGAGTCAGTAAGACACATTTTTTATTTAAATTTCGCGCCTTTGACTACTCGTTTTCTTGGAAGAGTGGACCATAAAGAACACATATTATCAAGTTTACCGTACTGGGTTGAGTTAGATACGAAATGTGCCCCTTGTGGCTTGTCGCCGCGATCAACTGTGTACTGTACAATCCGAGTCACTTGTATTGTGGTCGATGAAGTCGGTTGAAGTGCTGACATCCATTGTACATGATCTTTATGTCCATTTCGATTGATTTTCCAAGTTTGTCAAAGTCGAGTTTGACGTCGATCTGGCTTGTCTTCTAGTTATTTGTCAGGTTACCGGGTATGTTCATACACCGATGTATTCCATCGATTGTCTGAGAGAGAAAAAAAAATCAAAATTAAAATGAAAGCATTCTAAACATTGAACTATAGCGATCAATGAAATAGAACAATAATTCAAAATGATATAATGAGTCAATGATTCATAAATCACAGTTACAAAATGATAGCCGCGTGCAAGTGAATCTTGTTCAAATAGGGGAACACGTCGCGTCACGGAGTGGAAAAGTGCGTGAATGGCGGCGTTTGAATGGATAATAAAAATAATTGGGAGCGAAATACAGCAAAAATTCTGAGAGTGATTCGAGTTATCGTGATTGTAATTTTTACGACATCACATTAAAAAGTATGTGGTCGTAATATATTGACAGCGCACTAATTACGCAGATAAGATAAGTTCACAGAAGTGTAAAGTCAAAGCCAATCGCAAAATAATTTATAAACTTTTAGACAGCGTAATTTAAAACAATTGTCAACGTCTGAGTGCTGCGTAATTTCCTGTTCGGCCGACGCTTCGGTTCGCGTCAAGTCATTTCTACCTCTGACATAACATAACTATATTAGTTTCTACAAAACGTTATTCTAGTTCTTTAAAAAAAAGTGTTAGTACTGTCAGTGCCAGATTTAAGTTTTCGGCACTTGTCTTTAAATCCACGTTGGTCTTTTATAAATAAGTAAATTCGTAAATTCCCACACTGTTTACACATTCCTGAGTCCTTCAAGAACACGTTAGTTAGTAGTATTGTTAAATGACGCAGTATTATAAAAGTATAACGCAAGATTATGGCTTCCTCTCATAAGACGTTTGGAAGCGCCCTTTTTCTTCGGCTAGAGACGGAAAGCCGGAAACTTCGACTGTTTCAGGATTGGTGGGTGTGGCTACAACATGAGAAATATCTCAAATTTTCAACCAAAAAATCAATAACTGTCTATTTTAGTGGAACACAAATCCAAAATTGGAAATGTGTGAGTGGGCATTTAACAGGAACTTTAAATATCACAAGCAAGCGTTATGCATGGGAAATCTAACAATGAGATGTGATGGTGATTCGCCGCAGTTCGTAATCTTCGTCAAGTCTAGCTTTATGGTATCTGCCATGCAAATAATTTTCCCAATTTTGTGATGGTCGAATCAGATCGAAGAAAGGCGATTCATATGTGAAATGCCGAAACCCGATGTGATTTCCATGGATATCTTGAAATTTTAATTGCTTGACAACGTTTACATGACTTCACATGATCATAAGAATGTCTGGCCCTATAGTATATTTCCCTCAGCAGTATGTAGTATAGCCCATTTTTCTGATTTTCAGTGTTAGTGATTGGTATGCTGCAGATACATACTAGTATATATTCATGGACATGTTTAGCCTTACTTCCTTTCGCGAGTTTAGCTAATTGTGAAGTGCGCCCTCAATGATGACAAAGTGGTCAGTTTGACGATCGTCCCCAGAAAAAAAACACTTTTTACATCAACTTCAAACCATATTTCAATATTGTATATTAATTTATTGTTTTTCTTACACCTTACTAGCTACAGGTTATAAATATGACGTAACTTTGTCAGGTTGGCATACTGAATATTTGTATATTTTTTAGTAGTGTGTTTGTGTGATATTTTTAGAATTATTATCAACACCTTGTTGTCAAGTGGCTGTTGTAAGAACTAAGTCACTAAATCATTTGAAACATTAGATTTCAATTGTGCGAATACTTTGTGGGAATGTAGGAAGTCTTGACCAAAAATGATGGTTTGTTTTAAATGTAGTACGATGATAAAATTGAGTTTGAACTTTTGATTGCTTATGTATGCTATAATGCTTAGAATATCCTCGACTGTGAATCTTCCTCATTTGCTGTGACTACATTGGAATGTTTGGTGGGCGTAATTTTAAAGAACGTGAAGCTGGGACTTGATTAAATAATAAATATATCACTGCCCCTGAATAAATGACATTTAACATTGTGTGTCCCACTATCCGTATAAAAAGAAGATTGTCAAAATGTATTTCACAAGATTCTTCGAGTGCGATTGAGTTTATGGGTTTTAGAAGAGTATTAGCCTGGTACCGCCCTAACGTCGGGAATGGCTATTGGAGTTTAAAGGTGGCGGTTGCTTGTTCGTTGCTTCTCTATAGCGACATTGTGATCCACAACGGTCACAAATTTGGCAATATATACCACAGCGGTAGTTTTACAGCGCTATCTGTATGTCCTTCAGACCTACATGATGCGCAGTATGGCGGCCTAAAGATCGATGTCGGATAAAAAACTTGATTCATTTAGTTTTTTTCATAAATATTTTTTGATAAATATTGGTCATGGCGTCAGACTATATTCACCATTAAATACAAATGGATAATCGGACAGTAGTATGGCATAGCAGTTGGTTGTCGGGTGGGTGTACAAAGACTTTGCAAATGCA